TGTTGTTGTTGTTGACTGTTCAGTTCTTCGATGAGTGTCCTCCCGGCCGACAGCCTTCGTATTTCACTCCAAGCAAACTGCGATCCTCGCATCAAGTGACTCAATCGCAGACATTCCGGAATCGATGGTATATCCTCGTTGCTGTTCGCACTGAAACTATTACACAATTTTCTCACTGAACTGAATGAATGCTCGTTGGCAAGGGTAATGTCGAATACACAAACAACTGAAATAATGCACAAATTGCCTCTAGCGAGTGATCACCGAAACATTCTGTTGGTCACGCAGAAATGTCACTAATCTTACAATTACTTAGTGAATGAATGTGTACGATTGAAGTAACCTAGTAGGAAGGCAGGACGGACGTAAGATGAATAAACGGGTCAGTCACCTTTTACATAAATCGAGCAGCATGGCCGGAACTGTAACTGAGAGTGCTTGCATTGCGAACGGTGACACGACTGGTCGAGGTTCGAATAGGTTCGGATGATTACAGCATTTGCGCAGTTGCATTACGATGTTCAACACGGACATCACGTTGCCAGAACGCAGATTCTCACGAGTTCTGCATTTAAACATCACTTCATTACACATGAAATCAATCGAATTAATTCATGAATGAATCGAACCGTATTCATTTCTCTCTTCCTTATTATTATATAATGAAGACTTTTGCTAAATTCTTGAACCGAACATAATCATAATGAACAAATCTTAAATTAGTGAATAATAAAATAAAGCTCATCTTGAAATAATTATGAGCAAATAAAAATTAGTGACTACAAAAGAACAGTTTCAAATCGCCTTACGATCGCAACGACATAAAATCATCGTAGAGGTATCGTTGACGTTTTGATAGTGGACACTTGACCACATGCTCAGTTTTTTCGGGTAGTTGCTTCTCAACCTCTGATTTCAATCGACGCAATATAAATGGCCTTAGAACCTTAAAGAAAGGAATCTCATTAAAACATTATAAATTCATTCACGCAAATATGCCAATATTGACTCAAATTATTCACACAAAATTTCTTTTCTTAAAGACCGAACGTAATGATCATAATT